CTGACTTGCAAAGATGTTGCTGGGGGGGGGGGCGTTAATTTTTTAAAGTTTTAAATCCACTTTTCGGGTTTTGCGGAAGAGTTATTGCAACCGAAATAGCGTAGCTCTTAGAAGTGTGCCCATTAATTTCAACGGGCAGACCTCCCTTCCTCCCGGGGAGGAACAAAACTCTATGGAGAGAACCTTTCAAGATTCATTTTCGAAGAGGACTTGAAATGCGAGATCCAGGGAGACAGACAACCTCCTGATCTAACTAAAAGCACGCCCTGAAAGCAAGCCGAGCACGCCGTACCGCCTCACACATGCGCATTTCGCGGCCTTCTTTCTCTATTGCGGGAACCTCAAAAGCTATAGAAATAGCGGCAGAAATCAAGTTTTTTCTTTCTTCTTCCGGGTCGGATGTTCTTTCTCTCGCTCTCTGGTCTGCCTTGTTCGTCTTGCGTTATGGCTGCGCCCGACCGGGATGAAAAGAAAAGGAAGCAATTTGGGAATCGTTTTCTCACGGATACGGCTCGGCTTTTTCAACACAACGCCTGGTAAGTAAGAGAAAAGGATTACGGTGCGTCCTCTCCCAAAAGGCCCCCCCCCCCAATCTTTTCTGAGCCGTTTCAGCTACTCGTAGGTTGTGCCAGCCCCCCACGCCCGATCTCACAAAACAAAACGAAACAAACCCGCGTATCGGCTTTGTTCTCTACACTTGTTACCCGAACAAGCTGGAGCCCAAGAGGTCGAAAGGATGAAGTATTACGCTTACAGGTTGTTTGACACAAGGGAAGATGAAATTGTAAATAGAAATATGATGTTCAGTCATGTATGTTTATGAGCATGATGTTCAGTTGAGTATGTTTCGTAGGAACCAAGAATAAGGGCTTCATGGGAAAAAAATAAATACACTCTAGGTGATGGTTTAATTGTTTTTTCTCATCTTTATAGAGCCTTATGGCCACACCAGTCCCCCAGCTATTTTATCTCGTTTTTAGCTTTCACTCCAAATTCTGCTACTCCTAATGGGATGCAAGTGATGACACATAAGTGATGTCATCACACAATGCCGCAACTTATATCAGAACATAAGTACAGGTAGCGACCACAATTGGGACCAGCAACTCTGTTGCTAAGGGCTGCAGTCATTAAATGGAAAATCACATGACCACTTTGATCATTAAGCAAAACATCCCATGACCACAACTTACGATTTTACTTCTGTGGTCTCCATTAACTCTGCTTGTCACAAGCCAGTTGTGAAGTGCACAAATGGTGATCACATGACTGTGGGACACTGTGACAGTTGTAAATGTGAGGATTGTTTGCAAGCTGTTTTTTTTTTTACACTGCTGTAACTTCAAACGGTCACTAAACAAGGCAGTTGGTGAGTAAGACATACCTGTATGTAATTGGCAATACATACATGATGATATAATCACTGGTGACATTAGGTTTTGCCTCAGATGTCACTAGCCACCTTTCCCTACATCACATATCTTATGTTTTCTAAAAATACTTGTCCTTTGTATGTATGGTTAGTTTGTCTGACGATTTTATTTTTTTTATGAATAATTTTTATTAAAAGATTTTACAAAGATTTTAAAAACTATAGAAACATAGAAGAAAAAGGTTATAAAAGGGTAAAAGAAAAAGTGAAGAATTACAAAAAACATCACAAAAAAGAAAATATCTAAAGAAGTGACTTCTGATCTTCTTTGTAGCAGTTACAAATATAGCAGTTACCATCTCCACCCTCCCATATTGAATATCATAGTATCCTTTTCCCCATAAACAAACCTTTTTAATCAATAATCACCAATTCATTTCTATTCATTTTTAGCAAAAAGTCTACAAAGGCTTTCCAATATTTTATAAAAGTAGTTGGAGTTCCCTCCTTAATCAAACAAGTCAATTTAGCCGTTTCTGCAAACTCAGCCATCTTCACAATCCATTCCTCCATTATTGATGTTTCTGTAATCTTCTATCTTTAGGCTGAAGAATTGGATTTTAATACCCGACTGTGGTGGATTAACATTTCTTTCTTTCTTTCTCATAGGGATAACGTGGAATGGTCTGAAGAGCAGGAAGCTGCTGCACAAGCAAAGGTGCAAGAGCAGAGCATGCAGTTAGTACCACAAGATCAGCAAGGTAATATAGGCTATATAATGAAAATTCCGGGCCTCTTCCTTTGGTATGTGACAGCCCTATCAACAGAATATTTTTTATATTATATATATAATTTTTATTAAATAAAATTTTTAGAAAGTTAAAAGATAAACATGAAACAATATAGAAAAAAAGAAAAAAAAGGTCTTGAAAACCATAGAAAGCAAAGAGAAAGAAAAAGGAAACAAAAAAATACTTAAAGTGACTTCTAATCTTCTTTACAGCAATTATAAACATACTTGAAACTGTTTCTCCCCTTCACAATTATATAACATGGTTCCTTTCTCCCCATATTCAACCCTTATTAATCAGTAAATCCAGAAGTCACCAGTCCATTTTTATTCATTTTCAGCAAAAAGTCAATAAAGGGTTTCCAGTCTTTTATAAAAGTAGTTGTAGTTCCCTCCTTAATCAGACAAGTCAATTTAGCCTTTTCTGCACATTCTGCCATCTTCACGATCCATTCCTCCGTTGAGGGTATTTCTGTATTCTTCCATCTCTGTGCATATAATAACGTCACTGCAGTTACCATACATAAAACCAATCATCCATTACCCTATCAACAGAATATTGATCCCAATCTAAAAAAAAGTTTTGTTTTAGTTCCAGTGAAATCATTAGGACAGATTAATAAGTATTTTTACTCTGAATGATATCCACGATTGACAACCCTTTATTAATTAGGGTTTTCCTAGTTAGAATATCATTTATTTATTTATATATATACACACACACACACACACACACACACACACACACTCATTCCTGGCATAAGTGTCTCTTAGCTCCAAAGAATTGAGATTCAGACTAATGGTCAGATATTATCTAACTGATTTTGAAGGAGGACTTGTGTGCCACTTGGGGATATGAGAAACTAGTTACAACAGCAACAGATATATTTGTTTTTTCCCTAAATATAAAAAGTACTCACATGGCAGGTGATAACTATAAGAGGTAAAGCCACCTGTGGACCCTGCCATTACTTATATTACCTAGTTTAAAACTCATACTAGAAGGGAGCCAGAGTGGGGAAAAAATGCTTGGAAAGAGAGACATAGCTGAAAGAGTTTGGCTCACTTTATCCATGCATCTCTGAAATCTACAGCCTACTTTAAGTGTGAATGAAGCAAATATGTGGATTAGTTAATGAAAGAGTGTGGTTTAAAACAATATATTGCCAAATTAGAAATGAGACCTTTGATGGCCAATAAAAGGTTTGGAAAGTAACTCCAGTTACCATAAACTGAAGAAATGTACTGACGCTAAAACTGTAGAGGTTCTCAGAATGGTATAGGCAGTCCACTTTCCCATTAAACTCTCAGAGAGGTGCAGATGTTATTTTACACAGGGCTGTGGAGTTGGCACATAAAACCTTTGACTCCAACTCCTTTCTTCATGGTACTTCCAACTCTGTTAATTATATATTGATATAGGAAATAAATTATAAATATACTAATTATATATTTCCAAAATATGTTATATTTTGAAATATGCAGTGAACTTGAAATTAAAAAATATCCTGA